AACTAATGTCATATGTTCAGTCCTTTTTTGGCGCAGACTGAAATTGCAAGCTAAATGTAAATGACAATATACTGAATTTGTTCAAATGAACTGTCGTCAAGATTTGACAGAATAGTTCTAAAATATTTGGGCGCCGAGTGAGAAGTAGACATTTGTGAAAAATTATATTTGTAAAATCTCAGCGAGATTGAAATGACTAATTCCAACGTTTCGTTCGGCAATCTGGTCCGAACTTCTTCAAGGAAATTAATCGAAATTAACAAAACGGAGGTTTATATATATAAAAGGAACATTTCTTGTTTTTAAAAACTTTGTCCAATCATGATTCATAAAACAAGTATAATAAATAACACTGTATGCGCTTTGATGAAAATTTGACCTCGAACTTACAAATATTGGTCTAACTTTGTTAAACACTTTAATTTGTATCCAAAATAAACACGCCCAACCCCTGTCCCTGACATGGCCATCATAAACAGGTAATTGTTTTAGTAATGCCTATCCCATTGCCTTTCTTATCTAAACTTCCTGTTTACTCATGTTATTTTTAGGTTTTTCTTAATCCCTGTTTACACTGCCATATTCTCATACCCGAACTTCGTGTTTATTTTGTCATTTTACTATTTCTACATATTTAATCTCTGATTGCATAATCAATTATTCATCATATTAGGTTTTTTATCCAAACATCCTGTCCATTTTGTTATTTCTACATTTCTAACCCCTAATTGCACAATGTCAGTCTTCTTAGTTATTTTAATGCTACTTTGTTTGTTTTATCCATCCCCCTGTTTATTATGGCATTCTAATTCCCAATTTTAATTTTTATTAATTTGACCCTTGACCGGATATTATTCTGGAACTTTTCTATCCATTTGATATAAATACACGAATGTACAGCCTAGCTGATGATGACTTCGTCGAAAAGAAAATTTTCTTCGCTGCAACTGTCTTCTCAATAACTCCTATGACCCAGTGTGTACATTCCTGAATTTAAAAGTGAAGAAGAGTGCGAGAAATGCTATTAGACATACCTAGAATACTTTGGAAACTGAAGGGTATTTGTCTTCAGGTGAAATGAACTCACACTTATTAAGGTTCAATACTAGTAACATAAAACGTTACGTCACCTGACTCACACTTCTACCTAAATCAGTTATGCGAAAATTTATTTCCTGGAATAAACACAGACGAACATCATCCATTCGAGAAGACACTAGGAATGTTCAAATTATTATTGCTATTCGGATTAAGTGTACCATATGAGAGAAAATATACTTTAATGAGATTATCAATACCCTTCACGGTGAATGTATGCTATCAACCCTCAAACGTTTTTTTTTTGAGATTAACATTTGCTACTTACATTACAGAATCCCCAAACCTGTAAATGGTGAGAAGGGATGGCCATTACTTCTACCATAAAACTCATTTAAGATACATGGCACCAATTTGGCATTAATACTTCTTTTCAACCTGTCTATAAAACCCTTCGCGAGGATCATCCTAAATTTTGTAGAAGAACTAAAGAACAGTAATTTTAAAGCAACATTTTGTATTCAGAAACAATATCCCATTAGCTGGAAGGTCCTGGGTTTGAACCTCAGTCGGTGCGTACTGAGATGAGTCCCAAACTGAAACGAAACGGTTATCCAGTACTCTCTGTTGGTTTTCCAATGCTTCTCTAGCCTATATCAGCTCATGATAAGATCCGTTACAAATTAATGCTTAAGAACATAATCCACAACAGAAATACAAGACTGAATACATACCAGCTGTATTCATTATTTTATAACTGGCTTTAGCGCCATAGTTATAAAAATCTTCTGCATGAGTGTTAAATGACATAGAACACTTTTAGTTTAAGAGGATTTCGTTCGTGTTATACAGGATACTCTTATAATTGTGACATTTAAAGAAGTTTAACTTCTACATGTTTAATTCTATTTTCATGGCATAAATGTGATCGTCATGTTGTTTCAACCAGCAAATTTTAAGTATGATTCGTAGAATATTTTGTTTTGCGATAATAGGTAGACGCAAATACCCGCGTGAATCTGTCAATAAGCTGTCGTTTAAAAGTGTAGCACAAGCTTAGTTCTATAGCTGTAAATTCCTACCACTATTTTAACCACAGGCTTCATTGCTAACACTTAACTGTAAAAGTATTCCATGAAGAAATACATTGCCAGTTGAGATTTGATTGATGGTCTCATGTTTAACACTGTTAACCTGTAAATAGATTTTAACCTACTTTTCATACAGATTTTGCAGACTTGTCAGTCAGAGGCGAGTGCTTCTAAATTATTCTAATCAGCCTTTAGTAGACATTTTTTTCTAGATGTTTTATTAGAAAACTAATCACGTATAATTGTTTTTGAAACTGTGTCAATTAAACCAAGGAACAGTTGAGTTGATTTTTACATTTTATTAGTGTTATTTAGTTTAAATAAGGCCTTAAAAACAAGACTGAATTAACTGAGTCACATTTTCAAAATAGCTGCACACCTCTCATTAGTTGTCATGTATTGAGGTTTGAAATTCAATTAGCGGTAGATAGTCCATGTTCAGTGTTGGCTTTCAGGAGAGTATACAACTAAGTTCCATAAGATGCATCTGAAATCTAAATAAATTTGACACAGTTACTAAATATCAGGGATATATTTTTCCATTTAGTCACCTGGACATGAATGTCTATCACTTCGACTGTTTACTTATTACTGTTCTTTTAAGGCACTATAAAAAGCTGTAGATTGGTGCGATAGCTATCAGTGTCAGATATCTTCTGTAAGTTCATATTTTTTTTATATTTATTTTTAGATTTACAGCTTGATTCTACACTGTATTTTTGGTACAAGTATGGAATTTTCAGCATTGATATCGGTAGCCCAAATTTCGCAGGCCGACCATAGATATCAGGTGTGCGCCGGCGTGGGCTCGAACCCCGGACCATGTGCATGGTCGGCGAGAGTCCTAACCACTGTGCCACCGACGCACAGGTTGATACTGTTTCCTTAACTAATCTGTAATGCAGATAAGACCACAATCTGAGCTAATTTCATTACTTCAGTGCAATGTTAGCATTATTACTGACTTCTCAAAGTAGCATCCTACTGCTGTTAAGGAAGCTTTACACTTGATCCGGTCGTCCTCTTATTCTGCAGCAGATATGTTGAAGATGTAAAATAAAAATTAACATAGTGTTCAAGAAAACAAAGAGCTAAGTACAATCGTAAATACATATGGTCATTTTGTATGTGTGTATACTTACTTCGTCAAACAAAAATACAGTCAGTAAGTTTTTGATTGAGTGACGAAATACAAAATGTATTCAAGGAACTCAGGATTTGATATAAGAGGGTGGTAAGAAAAGTGATGATTTGTCACAAACGACTGTAATAACATGAGTGGTTTGATGAAAGAGTTGCGCTCAGGGCGAACATGGAAACAAATTAAAATACTAAATTACGTAAGATGGAATGCAAAAGTTTTAAGTGGTTAGGCAAACAAACAAGAAAGCAAACGTTAAATCAGATCAACAGGGTTGTTAGCATGATGGTATAAGTGGTTGAATAATTTTCTTATGTATGCATAGTTCTGGCTCTTCTAACTGAAAGGCTAGGGCTTCTGCAATGCAGAGAAGACGGAAACGTATTGTTTTTGGCACTTTGTAGATTACTTTGAATGAGGCATTTGTTGAGATGGAATGATCAGTGATGACGAGATGTTCAATGATTGCAATCCTTATACTGCCACTGCTTTCTTTCTTCAGCCATGCCGGATAGTGTTCTTTGACCCTTTCTGACAGGATGCGCATCAAACGACCAATGTACATGGCTCCACAGCAACAGGTTAACTAACATATGCACATAGAATTGGTTAGATGCGAGATTTGTCCTCTAGAAGAAGAAGAAATGTCTTCTTAAAGAAGTGGAAATTCTCCTCTTGAGAATATTTCTGAGTAAGTCACCTTTGTAGTCGAGGTTCATATAAATTATCTTTTTTGGCGCGAATGACGTCGCTTACTTTTGGATTTTATGTCTGATGTTTTTTGTATGAATCTTAGTGGATAGCCGTTTTGTGTGAAGATATAGTTCAGGAAGTGACGTTCTTCTTTCAGGGTATCAGTGCTGCAGATGCATTGGAGACGAGCAACAAGTGATATTATTATGCTTCTTTTTCGACTGATTGGTACCTAGCTGAAGAAGCTTGTCAGCTGGCCATTCAATGTGTGTTTCCTACGGATGGAACTTCCTTAAGTGCCGTCAGCTCTTCTTGTAAGCTCAACATCAAGAAAAGAAATTTTAGATCTGCCTTCTGTTTCAAGAGTAAACTTTGTAGCTGAATTGCAGTTGTTGAATATTTGTAGTAATTGATTAAGTTCTTGACGACCATCACAGATAATAAAGATGTGATCCACATATCTAGTATACAGTTAGCACTTATCAGTAGTTGATTTGAGAGGGCTATTATTGATGTTTGCAATGAAGCAGTCTTCTAGCGGTGGGCTCAGTGGAGGATCCGTTGTTACCAACCTCTTATATCAACATCAAATTTCTTTGAATACTTTTTGTATTACGTAACTCTACCAAAAACTACTAGTTGTATTTTCATTTGGCAAAGTTAATGTACACACAAATACGAAATAATCATACATATTTGAGACTGTAAAGCTGTCAAATTGAATCCACTGTACTACTGGTATTCTTACAATTAATGTTTGTATGAGGATTCATCATAAAATAGAATGAAGATCTGTTTCCATTCTCTGAAAAGCAACAATTATATTCATTTCTGTTTGTAAAATCATTAATTTCGTTCTTGTATACAATTTAAAAGTCATTTTTGTTTTAATGCATGAATTTATTGTTAATTTGTTAATGAAAGAGTTAAGTAGGTTATCGTATACAGTCAGTTAGTTGTTAGCATATCAGCATTTGTCTAAAAATGGAAAAAATAAACAAGGATAAATTTATTAAGAAAGGCGTTTTCCATGCAGTGTTGAAATGTTTTTGATAGCTTTATTTAACGTCAAAAGAAATTATTTTCAATTGTGACTACATCTTCAAAATATTTATTCGACGTTAGGATTTCAAACGCAGAAGAAATTTTACACCATTTGCGATAAAAACTTACACTCGTATTACAGGAAATTCAACTAAATGGGCTATACAAATTTTTAAAAAATGAGGTTAAATAATCATTGTGCAAGTCACTTATGTTTTATCGTATTTAAAGTTTACGTTTTTGACATCTATAACCAATTTAATAGTATTATACTACTGATATTAACTTTGGAGCGCTGGGACGTCACTGACTTTTTGCAGAGATGTGGTTTATAACCTCTAGTACTTGGTTTTCAGTCAGTATAATGGGTATAATTTCCATCAATGATTCACCTGGTTTAGCACTGGTGACCCATAATTACATCAACAATTAGGAGATAAGTATGACTTACAGACTGTTAAGCGGAAGGTCCGTTCGGAGTAAATGTGTTCTAACTAAAGCACTACACTATTGTATAAATACAGCTGAAACTTTTTTTGAGAACTTTGTGTTAGTTTTAATAGTATTCTACCTTTATTATATGATATTAAACCTTTAATTTGTGATTATTAACATCGGTCTAAAGGATTTTTCCCTTGATAAAATTGTGTATCTTATATTTTCCTCAATTTTTCCATAAAATGAAGAACATACTTGCATCGCTAGAGTTGAATTAGAAATACATTGTTCAAAAGACGTAAAATGTTCCAAATAATATTGCTTATATTTAGTTAAATTATTAAAATTGAGTTACTAAAAAATAATGTCATTGAGAATACTCTACAACCTGTATGGTGTACCATCTCAATGTTTAGTGTGAACACACCATTCAACAATAAGTGTGATACTATTTTAAACAAGTTCTGTCGATACTTTAGATTTTATTAGAAAAATACTTTTGACTTCTTATGAAGACGATATGAACAACCGTGAATTGTAGACATAATGAAGAAGATTTGTAGTTCAGGTTGGTGGGAACACTTGTGTTCCCTGAGCTGGAAAATTTACTTCAGAAAGTTTGATTGTCTCACTGGGTAGCATTCTCAGCTCATACTTCAAATTGAGGACTTTAAATTAAAGTTTTTCAAAGTTATGCAAGCTTCTCATGTAAATCATTCAGTTCAGAGAACACAACTTCATCAAAACGGTGAGTTATCATCAATACAAAGTTAACTTAAATACATCTGTTTAGATCAAATATTCCACAGTTCGATGTGTTTATTTTCATTCATTCTGATGTGATTAAAAAAAGGTACTTTTTCCACTCCAGGTACCACGCAACTCTTTTGGTCATTGTCAAGATATTTTAAAGTGACGTCTTATCACACAGATTTCCATACAACATTTATCACTGTATGCTCGAGTATTAACCACATCACTTCTAGGTGTTTTATAGTTTTAAAGTTATCATGATAGTAGTTGGAGGTGTTACAGGAGAAAAAGCCGTTTTACCCGGACTTGTAAATCATACCTTTCTACCTTTGTCTGTATTTCACTAATAGCAACACATTTGGGCTATTCACAGTCGACGGTCTCTGTTTAATTTTGATAAAGTTAACCTTCTTAACAGTTGAAGAAGAATAAAAATGAATTTTTACGGCGAGGTGAACATACTTCTAAGAGTTCTGTCACGGGAAAGAAATGAAAGGTGTACACAGTGTTCGTAATTAAAGTTTTTTGTTGTGAGGAACAAAAACCTCAAAATAATTAATTCAGTGAGTTTGTGGAATTTTTTTGAAAATGTAACTGCACTTTTACTATATATATTATTGGTGTTTGATAAAAGTAGTTTAGTTTCATGAGATACCGTTTTGCAAAGCAAACTTGACTCTGACTATTGTAAAAATATCCATGACTTTATCCTTGGGTTCTTAGTTAATGACCTTCAAATAAACTTGTTAAATAGGTTACGAAATGTGAAGGTATACTCTGTGACTATCGAATATTTGAAGTCTGAAACAATTTCTCCAGCATTTCAAACGACAAGAGGAAGTTATGAGGTTCCATTTATCACAGTATTGTTGAATCACAAAGTTTTGTGTACTTGAATAACAAAAAGACGTGAGAGATCCGAGTGTAGTAGGAAATACCCCATGAAAATCAATAACCTTTGTGATCACAGTAGCTTTCACAGTTAACTGGACGCACCGTTGCAGATAAGCATAGGCGCAAATTTTGAAAACTGTTTAATCACTATAAGTTGTTTACACAATACATTTTGCTTGCTAAGTGACTGTTATTTTTCTCAGAAATGTGATGTGATCTTATGTTCAAAATACGCTGAATAGAAAGTTAACTTCAAGTCCTTGAAAGCGTTAATGATCAATAAGTGAGTAAACATCATTCATTCAACATTCAGAAGATTCTGTTTATGTATTATATACTGAATTTATCATTTTATGTCACATACACTGTATTGCAAAATGCTCAAGCGTTCTAAAAATTATGAAAAGGATTGTTAATAAACTAATTCGCTTCGTGGAAAAGCTGTGTGTATTTAATTGCGGTGAGGCGATATTTAAAAAATTATAACTTACTTTTTCCAGCTGTGGAATAAATTATCATATATTAGCCCTCATTTGCTGAATATTAATGTGTATTATTAGCAAAGAATAGGAATTTGTGGCGGGGGCTATTGACAGGATTTATCGGCAGTACATTAAAGAGACGTTTATAGGCACAAAATATCAAAACAGAGGAAATATTTTTATTTTCTTATTTTGATTACAGCTTGATTCCACACCGTATTTTTGATACAAGTATGAAATTTCAGCGTGGATATCGGTAGCCCAAATTTCGCAGGCCGAAATATGGATTTGACATCCACTTAAGAAAATTAGCAAGTATTGCTGTGTAACATTGAGGACACGAAAATAAGATAAGAAAAAGAAACACAATGCGAAGAGCAAGAGCAGAACAACAGGAAGTGCATGTGCAAATGACGACGTTATTGTCTGGTATACATAATTTCCCTATATGTGTGCATCAAATTACCCACCACTCTTGTTACATTTAGGCAATCATCTATCTTTGTCTTGTTTTTATGAGGGAAACCCTAGAAGAGTTCATCACCACCAAACCACCTTTTGGATATTAATCAATAGCAGTGAATAGTTTTGATGAAATACTTTCAACATTCACAAGCATCTTTGATTCTTTTTAACTTTAAAAACGAAGCTTACCGTCATAACCACCTGATGAGTGAAGAAAACAAGTACATCGAACATTAGTAAAGTGTAAATTTGAATTTTAAAAGTAATGTTAAGTGCTGGGAAAATAAAATTTTGTAGTTTGACACATTTTTGCTTAGCTGATTTGGATTTAGAAAGACCAGTTCCTCTCGGTCGAATTAAAAGTTCACAACCAGTAAAATAATCCGGTACAATTATTTTACTGTAAAATTTCAAATTTCATCAGCAGACGAATACATTATTTAGTCTTAGACAATATCTGCGAATAAACTCAACATTAAATCACTAAATTATGATAAGTCAAGGACATAGTTTATTTATTTATGCAGTTTATGTCATTTATGTACTCAGGTTTTAAGAGAACTGCTATTCTGTGATAGCGTTTTAGCATAATCGAACATATACATTATTTAAGAAATCATACCCTGTAATGAAACCTCAAACAAAGGTATGAATACATAACGTAATAATACCATTGAATCCACTTCGAATGTCTGTAATTATAATCATGATTAAACTTCCAGTGGCAAAATAAACAGTTTTCAATTGTTGATTTTTAAGGATTAGATATGTATTTGCGAGTTCATCAGAGAGTGATAGCAGTTAGAGAACCACTGAAAACTAGAGAGCGCTAGTTTGAGTGTCATTGGCAATACGTACCCACTAGTGGTCGCGCTAAATCACGAATTGGTAAAAGTTAGAATTCATGGGCTGGCCGTTGAGTCGCATCCGAGTGACTGAGTAGTATACGAGCTTGTTTTGTAACCGGAATATCCTGGGTCAGAAACGCAGTGGGTGCATTGTGCCGATGAATCCCAAAAAAGCACGAAACAGCTGTTCAATACTTCCTGATTTCCAATGGTTCGCTAACTGATATCAATCCGTGACCAACTCGTAAAAATAAATAGTGTTGTATTTTATAATATTCAAGTGTTGCTTTGTAGAGTATTGGTTGGCTACAGGATTTCATCATAAGCTGACACCGGTTCAGCGAGGTGCTGATGAAGAAATCCATACTAGGAAGAAACAGCTATAGAGTACTCCCAGGTTTCTCAAAAGTACTCTAACCTCTTTCAGCTCATGATGAAATCCCCTAACCAATCAAATCTCTTCGAAACCAGCACTTGAATAATAATCTTTTACTCATGAGTGACTAGACTTATTCAGATGTCTAGTTACCTGGATTTTAGTCATTCGTGACCATTCGGTTTACAGCAGGTCGGGTGTGAGGGCAAATAATCGCCGATGACCCTGGCTAGTGGTCGCGTTTTATCGTGAATTGGTAGAAGTAAGAATTCACAGTTTTGTCATTGGATAGGGTCGCAATGGCTTAATAGTCTACGAGCTTGCATTGTCACAGGAAGGCCTCGGTTCGAACCCTGGCCGGTGAAAGGTTAGCGCTGACGAGGAGTCCCAGTCACTAGCATGAAACAGCTGTCCAGCACTCGCACTTTTTATAGTATATTAGAATGCTTAACAAAAGGAATAGGCGGTGGGATGGGGATTAGAATAATAGGATTATTAGGCAAATAAAAAATTCGTCACGTAACATGGTGTGAAATTTGAAATACTAAAACTTAAAACTCCATATTTCCTTTGGAAAAATGGAAAAAAAAGTGAAACAATACGGGAAACTGTCCAAATTGAGGATGATAATAGTAACAATCGACATAATAGGGGTAGGATATTCAAACTGAATATAAAACCAAAAACTATTCACAACTAAAATGTGAATAGCGATTATCACAAGTTAGCATAGACGGATTAACACCATGATATTTGGGGGTATAGAAAACAACGTCTTCTGTATACACAAATCTGTCTTTTCTATTTCGATGGGCAAAGCTTTAGCAGTACAGATGATTCGGATACATCATGATTCACGTATCCGCACCTATCTTTCAATTTTTTCACAGGATATGATTTCATTAAAAACCATAAACATCCGCTTATACAGCTTATGAATAAATACGATGAGGAAAGTAACTTCTCTGAATCACTTGTTTTGATTTTCTATATCCCACTGAAAATCTTAAGATAAATATAACGTTGACTCACCCAAATCTTGAATACCTGTAAGTGTTTCAAGACTTATAATTTCATTTAAAAAGTGGGTTGACTTTTTAAAACTCTTTATCTTTCCACGCTTAATTTTTAAATTTAGGGTCTATTGGTTGCATCGTGAAATTATTTTATTTTTGCTTGACACTGATTTTATTTACCTCCCTTTTTGGCAACTTGTGCTGGTGTTACTTAGTTATGTTTGATGAGTCCAGTTCAGAACAGTAATTCTAATGCCCTTTGTTTCACAAATGCTTCATTTTCATATTGCCTGATAGCAAAAATTTGAAATAATTTAATTTTATTATATCTTGACTCCTCAAAGCATTTTTGATGCAAATATGTAATTTTCAGCATGTTATATCAGTAGTCTAAATTTAGCAGGTTGACTAGTAATATCAGGTGTAGGTCGGCCGGAGATCGAACACCGGACCATGTGCAGGGTTGGAGAGCGATCTAACCGCTGTGTCACCGACGCTGAAAGAATTCAATAACTGTTGTTTTCTAATAAATCCCGAAAGATGTCACCTAGGGTAGGGAATTGACTCCAATGCTTACGAAGCAGTTCACAAATCCACGATGTACTCATACCACAAGACTTTGATCAAAACTACGGCATGCTGAATAGGGAAGACCATTTTGTAATTGTTAGACGCTTATGTGTTTATAAGAATACATAAAGACTAGTTTAAGTGTATAACTTAGGCAATGTGACAGAATGAAATTCCATATTAGATAAGTTTATTTTAGTGCTCACGCAGTGATGCAGTATTAACAACAATAGTACAGTTTTATAAAAAATTTCACTAAAATGTATTCAATTTATTTAATGGCTGTTATAGACAGCTCAAAAGGATTGAATTACACTCACGTGATTGAACTGAGTTAAAAAAGAAATAACTTGAATAAAAACTTTACTAAAACTACAAATATCATCAAATATTTGTAAATGATTGAAGTTTAACTTTCTCATGTAATAAGAACAGTTGGAAGTACCTCTTAACTATCCATCGAGAGTTAGTTTAGAAATTTTCATCGATGATAAAGCCGAACTAATGTAATACCCAGTCCAGGATGATCAGTCAATTAGGTAAGCATATAACGAATCGGTCAGTAATCTAAATTTCAACAGTCTGTATTAGTCTAAGCTAACGAAATGGAAAATCTCAACAACACTATTTGACGTTACAAGTGAGTATCTCTTCTTAAACTCCATATATGAGAACCCATCAGTCAAAATTTCCTGTAAAAGTTGCTCAGTAACAAAGAGACGACTGGAGTTTAATTGTTATCTATGGTTATATTAGGAATCTTGCTTTTCTAAAACAAGAGTTTAAGAAGGTAGAAAAGGATCTATGAAATCCAGTTTCCGGTTAACTTTATTGTTTCCTTCAAACTCATCTAGTTACTTAGTCACTTCTATACCTGTAGAAAGTGGAAACGTTGGGTTTGGGGTCAGAGACACTACCTTGGAAAATCAAATCACTCTCAACTTAAATGTAAAAGCACAGAAAACTTGTTTTTGAGTGTCGAAATTACTTGGGCTAATGGATGTCTTCGGAAAACCAATAAGCCGATACGTCTTTATATTTTGATGAAAGCAAAGATAAGCATTGGGACATGGAATGTTTGAGAACATGTGCGAGGTGACAGTTGTTTCACTTGACAAACGCGTCAAAAGTTAGGTACATATCATCTTGATATTGCCCAAGAAGGTGTAAAATCAGCCTACTGGACACAACATCAGAAGGGTAGGTGTGTGCACAGGCAATTATCTATTCATGCTGAAGAGAGTAAGAGAAGTTGTGGACACAAAACGCAGCTGTCAACACATGCTGGATTCAAGAAAATCAAACTATGTTCTGATCAAATTTTAACCATACGGATCATATTCGAACAAAAATAAAAATGGTAGTCAGATATATAACTCAACTATATAGACTGTTGGAAGACTTTTGTCAGCAATGACTGTGAAATGATTTATAAACTGCTTCCACACTACACGTGCTGTGCACAAAACTTTATCAGCTTCTTTCAACACCTATTTGACAAGGCCACATACCAAGCGATTCGCAGCGGAAAGCTTAGTAAAGTCTTTGAAGTGGGGACAAGATTTGGGGATGTCTTACTACTATCATCAGTGATATTCCTGACCACGTTGGACTGAGTCATGCGGCACATCATAGTGAGTTAGGAGACAGGTATACTTTGAACGTATGAGAATACTGTAGAAAACATATTCATTGTGGAAAACTGATGTTTAATGTCGCACAGACTCGAAGATCTGTAAGCGAAAATCAACAAGCCGTTAGAGGAATCAAGGAGTGAAGAAAAAACTTCAAGTGAACATAGAAAATAATGATGTGACGGAGGTAATCGTTTAATAAAAGGCACCAGACAACTTAAATGGGAATAATTTGAGGGAAGTTATCTCTTGCACTTAGTTGAGCAGCATCGTCTCAACTACAGGCGGCATGGATGATGATACCAAAGCTGGACAGATTTGAAAAAAAGTACAGACCCTTTTTAATATGAAGTTAGCGCGGACATATGCTGCACTTGGTATGAAAGGCGAGATGTGGATTTTCAGCACTAATTCGATGTATTGCTTATATGGTTCGAAAATTTCGTATACTAAGAAAAGCGTTTTGAATGGGCTTCAGACCTTAATCGACAAATGCCCTTGGTCAACAGTGAAGATCAGTTGGTCAAAAAGAATTTGAAATACGGAATCCTTGCAATGGACAGACTTAATAACCTAACTCAACTATTATGCCGAAGGAAATGGAAATGTGTACACTTTGAGAAGAGTATTTAAAATCACGAACTAAGCTCAACAGTGAAATCTCAGAACATGAGGGTGGCGCGGAAACAGTCGCCTAAGGAGTAGATAGGATCTTGTGAATAATCACGAAGGCAGCTAAAGAGAACTAACTGAGAAAACAGTGAGGTTGAGATGGGTTGTTGAAGCTCTATGTTCCACTCAGAACTCAAGTGAACAATAAATAATATTAGTATTATTAACAAAACCAACATTAGTCGTTCCTAGGAACATTATTAAGTCAGTTCTCATAGTAGTGATTGTCCTACTAGGTTTTTTATCCAAAGTTGATGTATAATTTGTTGTCATCACGTCTTCAACTCCTAATTACACACAAAGTCTACTTTCTCAATAATTATAACCGTATTATATTTTTGTCCGATCTTATTTTTTATTTGGTTATCATAATGTCCTGAATTAATATCAGTAAAAAGTTTGAGGATTGTAGATTAGATCGAATAAAGTATAATCATATTTCAATAGTTTACACACAATGATAAGTTTTTGTTATTCGTAATATTTCGAGGAAAATTACCAATAACAAAAACTTATCATTGTGTGTAAACTATTGAAATATAATTATACTTTATAATGTCCTGATCCCTATTTGTAATCTTTCTAATTTTACCCTTGACCGGAAATATTTCTGTAACCTTCTCACCCTTTTACTATATGTAGACACGAGTATACAGCCTAGCTGATGTCTTCGTTGAGGAAAAACATTTTCTTCTCTGCAACTATTTTATTTAATTTTTCCTATGGTCCAATATGTGTATTCCATAAGCTAAGTAATAAATGTTGTTTTACAATCTCGATGACACAGATTCTATATCTGAGGCATCTTGAAACAGAAGTAACAGATATTGTTCTCTAATTTAAACACTGAACAAAATAAAGCCGAGGTACGTAACCCTGAACAGGTCTTTACAACTCATAATTGAAATTTTTCAAGATACTATAATAACATAGTATGAAATTATTGCTATCTAATTGTCTCTATATTCATGCTTTTCGCGTCATGTTCAATGAAAAAAAGACGAGTTTAAGCGGCCGAATTTCATTTCAACATGTAAACATGTGAGTCACTCACTTCCATCTTCTAAAATAGCAAAAAGAATTTTATTTTGCAAAGATAGTTAAATACATACAGTGGGCGGAGGTATTCTGCAATAATTAATAAAGTGCTTTGGATATTTTTACGCTGTAAATGAACGAATTATGCTGCGCAGCTTTAACAAGTTTCCTCTGAAAGGCCTTGTAAGGCTAAACGCTAGATCAATATAGTTAGGGCTATAGTAGGTAGAGTGTCACCCAGTGTCTACATCTCCCTAAAACTGGACATTTGAGCCAAACTCACAATAAAGTTCAGGTCAAAGAATTTCCTGTTAGTACATGATATCCAGCTAGAACATAGTTTTGTATTGTAAGCATATAACTTATGGGTGGTATCGACTTTTTCTCAGGGCAATAAACCTTAACTTCTAAGTCAGTCCGCTGTCTCTTCCCAGTCTCAAAACAGGGATCAACTTATCAGTAGAAAAAATTCCTTTTTTGTCGAATCAACAGTGCAACAAACGCACAAATCAAGTATTATCTCTATTACAACGAATATTGCTAGTACTCATTTTTTGAATCAAAGTTTTCTATTTTATTTTCTTGGTGATTTAATAGTTTAAAAAAGTTGGTTTAAAAAAACAGAATACAGAAAGTTCCTGTAAGACTATTTAAAGCGTTCCTTTACTAATATGTCGACTGAAAATGCATTATCCATGAGGGGTAATTTAAAGCAAATTTGACTTTCTTCACATTCTCTAGTCCAGACAAAACTAAATGTTCCATGGAAATGTCACTATCAACTGACTAGGCACTGAGCTAACTAGTTTGAAGATAATTTAGTCTCTGAATGTTGATAACATTCAAACTGTCACGTACTTGCTTTTTGTTCTAGAAAGCAAAACAGGAAAACAAATTTATCATATATCGCTCGATTGTTTTCCGAATTTTCTCTGACGAAAGGAACACATACTGAACCAAAGATTTCCGAAAAATACCTCTGTGAAAATTTAGGATACTTCCTTGCAATAACTATATAACATGCACGAGAATGAAGAAACTAGAGAAAGTATTTTGAAGAAAGACACAACATCTTGATGCTCGTCGTTTATGATTCATTTCGTTTATGAAAATATCATTACGGATCATCTTTAGGGCTTGTAAAACTCAATAATGGTTCACTGATTAATTTATTATACACAGTCCAATGAATTGATGATCATTTTATTCAAATATCGCACCACACTTTCACTTATTGTTAATAATGCCAAAATTATGATTATGTGAAGCAAAATTCAAAACTTACGTATTTCCTCTATTACACAGATCATTATGCATAGAATAGGCTTAGACATCCTACTACGTATACAGTTCAAACTTTGGTCAAAATACATCAGTTAGAACGTTAATTACTAAAGTCATTTTGATGCATATCATACTCCCACTAAATTCACAGGTTATGAAACCACCCTAGATGTGCTAGTTTTTGCA